AAAAAAAAAATGAATGACGGCGGGATCGAACCCGGGCCGTCGGCGTGCTAGCCGAGCACGTTACCGCTAGGATAACGCATTATTGCAATATTAAAATTTCATTAGGAGTATATATTTTGCAAAAGTAACGTTTTAAAAAATTGCTAATTTTTCAATTTCACTGGATATCTTTCCGATTTTCAAATATTCAGTTTTTAAACAATATTTCGATTAATTAGCCAATTAAAAAAAAGGTAAAATTGGAATTATTTAAAAAAAAAAAAAGAACGACGGCGGGATCGAACCCGAGCCGTCAGCGTGCTAGCCGAGCACGTTACCGCTGGGATAACGCACAATTGCAATATTATAATTTCATTAGGGGTATATATTTTGCAAAAGTATCGTTTTAAAAAATTGCTAATTTTTCAATTTCACTGGATATCTTTCCGATTTTCAAATATTCACTTTTTAAACGATATTTCGATTGATTAGCCAATTAAAAAAGATAAAATTGGAATTATTTTGAAAAAAAAAATAATTAAAAAGTAAAAAGCTCGTCTACAGTCGACTAAATTTCAGTTAAACAATTGAAAAACAAAAAGCATTCATACTGCTACAGTCAATCCTTTCTGGATACGTCCATGTTGATGATCATATCAAATGGAAAATTCAAATGAATGGCATTTTTTTACGATTCACTGTCATGCAATGAAAAAAATTCAAATTTCTTACCAAAAATTAATTTTATTTGCAATTACTCATACAGTCATCCCATTTACGTGGTACTTATTGCGACATATGAAGGTATAAAACTCCTTAGTCTATCTTACACCATAATGACATGTGTTTTGCTCCATTCGCCTCTTAACCACTAACTTAAAAAATATCTCCAACTTTACCTGTAAAAGTTGTTAATTTCATTCATCATTATGCATTTTTCAATCTTAAAAATTGATTGGGTGTCTGTAATTTCACCGTCGCGACAGAAAAACTGAATTTTAAAAAGTCGAAATTTGTACAATTAAATTTAATTGTTCATCGGTGATTAAAACGTAAAAAAATATTCAAAATTATACAATTCGTATGGAACGGCGTCAATATCAATTCAGAATCCTCTGAATTCAATTTTCTGAATTGACTCAAGAGTATTTACTTGACATTAATAGAGTATTAACAATTTTTTACACTCCTCGTGACAGTGATCTGATAAATTTAGTGTCTATTTCACTCTGTGCTCAATAAATGCGTTTAAAAATGAGAGATCTCACTTGGCACGAGTACTGATGCCACGCTGTACCATAACGCGTTTTGCATCGAACATGATCACGATATGCTCTGTGCATGAGTACGAAGGTGAGAGTAATTACAGGATAGTAGGGTACAATCTGATGCGTGAACAATGATACCCCAGCCATTGACCAGTTCATAATGATATCTCCCAGGTAGTTGGGGTGTTTCACTTGCCCCCAGAGCCCAGAGATTATGAGTTTCTTTCCTCGAGGCGTCAGGATCGTTTCCAAGTTCGAAACTGCAGGAGAATACGGATTTCGCCTGAACTCGTCCTTTTGATTGTTGCTCATGCGATAAATCATGTATCCTACGAGGAACGTGAAGCTCAGAGAAGCCAGAACATACGGTGACGTTTGCAGATTTTGGTAAAAGACGTATCTAGTGACGAGAGTAACCAGGAAAGGATACATGAGATTAGCAACACAAGTCATGTACCCAGTGCCCTCATACATGAACCTGAAGGACGTGAAAGACGTCCCCTCGTAGAATATTGCATCCAAGCAGTAGATAATCTGCATCCCCGTGACAACCAGAACCGTGGGATTAACATTCCTCAAAGCATCAAGATCAAATCTTCCAATTGCCTGGCTAACGATTGCAGTGTTGATGATGAGGGCTCCAATAACCGCAGCTCTCACAAGAATCATTTTAAAATCAATCCCTCCAATCCTTGGATTGATCTCCCTCCCCTGCCAGAAGTCATAAATGAGATTATTGGTGGAGCCATAAATATTGAGAGCAGCCACAGGTGCACTTTCAGCCTTAATAAACAATAATATGGCTATTGCAGTTCCAATTATCCACCCACTGACAGCCAGCTTGAGGGCAGATGCCAGGATGTAATCACAGATACGAAGTGATTGATATTCACACGTAATGAGAATAATGAGAGAAATAATTGCAGTCATCCAGCCATTGACATGATATTGCAGTCGTCCAATTTTGTTCTCCTGTCCATCGACGATTTTTCCAATGGGCAGTAACGACATCATCCCCACGAAAATAATAAACCCAAGGTAGTACAGTGTGGCTTGTAAATTCAAGTACACTTGCCACTTCATGGGCAATCGAAAGTCAGTGTTACTGCACTTGTTGTTGTGGCAGGCAACTTGTGGGAGAATAATTGAAATTGGGAGAACGACAGTAAGGATGAGGGCTCCTATCCAGCCTGCCCATTCCTGGGGTTTAGCAATGAGTTCGAGTTCCTTGGTTTTTTTAAATTTTTCCACTGTCGTGGAGGAATCGGGAAGAGCCTCCTCCTCGTAGTGCAGCAGCTTCTGGAGGTCCTGGTCTCTCTGCACTGAAAATCCCCTCTCCTTCACATCAGTCAGGTAATCGTAAGTGATTTTCCTCTCCACTGGTAGTGAGAGCGCACGGTCGATCGATCGTGTGGGAATCACTCGATCAGTTTTCATTGCCGATATTCGAGTGGATCTTCTAGTTGCTGTTGGCGGCTCTCTCATACGCGACTGCAGGGGCAATAATTCACTCAGTTGATCTGTCTCGCTCAAATTAACGCTTGATGATTCCTTGTCCTCCTCTCGATCTTCCCGGATTCTTCTCGGCAATTTTCGTAATTTTGATGTTGGAGATCGAGCTGGGGAGCGACGACTTGGGGATCTTCTGCTCGGAGATTTTCGACTTGGGGAGAAACGACTTGGGGACTTTCGCGAGGGGCTCTTTCTGCCTCGACCCCGCGTTCTTCCCGAACTGCGAGACGGACGGTCTGCTTGGATATCCTCCTCGTGCATGCTTACCTCAACACCCTCCTCGAGGAGTACGCTGTATTTGTCACCCTTGATACCGATAATTTTTCCCTTCTGATAGTATTCCAAATTTGGCAACTTGGCGAAGACCTCTTCACCCTCGTTGAACTTCATGATTCCTCCAAAACCTGCGACAATGGGTCAGAGTGAAAATATAAATTGCTTCCGAAAAACCTTCATATAAATTCACCACAATTCGTCGACATTTGTAAATTGTATTTATCGAATAAAATTCGCGACAAAAATGACATTGAAATAATAAATATTCTGCTCCTACCCCAATATTTTTCAAAACCCTCCGAACCTCAATTATTCAAACTCGAGGACAATCGACCTACCACTCAACTCGCCGCTGTATCATCGATATAAACTTTTCCCCTCAAAAGACGCGTTCAACGGAAAACATTTTTCAACGGAAGAAAAATTGATATTTCGAACACACCGAATATTCGACCGATAGCCCCATAATTCTAGAATTACGTGGACAATGATTATCCAATGAATCGCAGCACTAAACCATAAAAATTTGCAATCACAAAAAAAAAAATAATAAACGTTCCTGCAAGGCCAGAATTACCCAGCAAATTTCGAGCTCAACTGTGCATATCCCCCACAAATAGAATAATCTCATTAAGATAGGGTGCAATTGCTGTCTGGACGACAAGTGCAGTTTCGTAATGCATTGAGCTTGAGGTCCGATAATTTATGGTACGAAAAGGAAAAAATGGAGGGAACGAGTGTTATCAGAAACTCAAACCCAGACCACTGGATTAAATTCTAATTACTTACGTTAAAAACTCACTAAATGGCTGGATGACGAGTATCAGGTCGAGCTATGGCGGTGTAGATTACTCTTATTGTACTGTGCAACTCGAGGTTATAATTAAAGAGAGTATTTTTTACATTGCTTGTATACGTTACATCGCACAGACGCCAAGAATTCCAGTGTCGGATGGCGTTCACAAATCTATCGGTGGGACGCCACGCGTCCACGCTTTTCATTGGTTCTCAGCTACAACGGTGGGGAGAGCTAAGCGTGGCGGTCATCGGGTGCATTCGGCAAACTTCGACCCGGGAAAAATGGCGGTTCTCATCTCGCGATAATTAGACATTTCATTATTTTCCAGAAAAAGGAATGGAAATTTGAGGATTTTTGTACAAAGAATTTTAAAGTTGTCTATTTATATGAATAAAAGGTAATTATGGTTCTTTTTCATTCCTCAAGGAAATGACGAGTGCTTCTGAAATTTCAAACAGATTTCGAATTTGTAATCGGGTGACAATTCGGGCGGTATTATTTGGCGGGAGATCCAAGGACCTATCAAAACATTGAAATCAAACGGCGGTCGTGTGGATAACGAGTGGTTGAAGTTAATTCAATCGATTTATATTTCTTCTTGAAGATATCTCTGGAGTTTGACGTGAGTAAAGAAGATTAGAGGAAATTAGAGGAACTTTTTGAAGGAGTTATGACCGATGGAGATGGAGATTATGGAGGAATGGGGTTAGGGGATTCACGGATCTCTCAAGAAAATCTTGATGACATTGTAAGTTAGAGCTTCGAGATACATAAGACATGAATACAATGAGACATAACATGACTGCTGCCTCGAAAAATATTTATAGCAAGAATAATTAATTTTCGAGAATGATATGGAATTTTTTCTCTCAGTGAAAAAATTATTCTCTTGTCCATTTTAAAAATCGTCTCGAAACTCTCAAGAGGAAAGAGAAGAGAGGAATAGATTATGAGAGGATTTGTTGCAGGATCATATGCTGGAGAAGCTGGCGATGGCGCAGAGCCATATACTGAGATTTATAAATCAATTGCCAGCATTGCTGGACAATGACGAGGAGTTTGAAAAATTGAGATCAGAGGTTAATGGGTTGGTTGATAAAATTTACTCGATCGTTGGACCTCTGGTGGAAGCTAAAAATGGTACCTTCTTCGAAAAATTTCGAATTAACTCTCCCAATATTTGTTGGGGAACAAAAATATTCTGAGGTATTTATTAATTAATTATGGGACACTTGATGCTGATTTTACAGAGAATGAGAAGAGGATCAAGCAGCTGGAGGCGAGCTACGGGGAATTATTGTATCATTTTGAGGGAGAGCAGAAGAAGGTCGAGAGTTTCGAGCAACAAATTCGTCAGTTGACTGCTGAGGTTGGTTTTTCCTGGAAGAATTTCCTTTTTTTCTAAGGAACACGTTTCAGGGATTTTTTTATTTCAGTCTGCTGGACAAGTCACGTTTTGCACACATATGGGGGCAGTATTGGGTAATTTGATATGGAAATCTGCGAGGTCGTCTTCACAGGTCGAGCAGTGGCTCAATGAGGTAAACTCAAGAGTCTAAACTCAATATCCAACTGCAATGATATAATTAAATTTTGTGCGTTTTAACTCGCTGAAAAATCTCGGATGGTGATTTTATTCTAGAATCGACAAGACCTCAACGATTTTATATCAATCACAACGACAGCCTTGGAGTCATTCCTTCAAACTTTCGGAGGGCGTTTTCCCGACATCAAAGAGCAACAGTGCCAGTTCATGATGTCGCTCATGGGGACAATCACAAACGTGTCTGCAAATTCTACGGGACGACAAATGCTGTGTAGTCAAGCCACCGGAAAATCTTTGATTTCGCTGATCACCAAGTCCATCCCCAATGTACCATCGACCACCGGAGATCCCATGAAGAGGTCAGACCCCACATCAGCCTCCAATAATTTAATCAATTAAAATCTTTACAGTTTCGCGATGGAAATTGCTCAATCTGTTTTCCCCACAGACTGATGCTCATGATTCTGTACAACATCAGCCTGAACTGCACAGGTCTACCCTTTTTGCTGTCCCGAAAGGTCCACGAATTGATTCCCTACTGTACAGAAGAATCTCCTGAGATCCAGCTGAATGCTCTACGTTTAATTCAGTCCATCACGTACGACATAAAGGAAACCGAAGTAGTGAATCGTCTCCTGGAGCTGCTGCCTCTGATAAAAATTCACGAATTCATGTCATCCAGAGACGATCGAATAGCAGAGGCTGCCAGAGGCCTGATGACGAACATAAACAAATTTTTCGCCACAGCCGAAACCATCAGCAACACATCAACAGAAAATTGACACCTACTAGTTATAGTTTTTTGCCGAGAGATATTGGGAGAATTGGTGGTAATCGCTGGAGTTATCGACCAGTCGAGGGGAGAGGTGTGTCCCCGATTACCGCACCCCAATTTCACCCCGAAATCCATCAAAAGTTCTTTCTCGCGGAATGCGTGATGCACAGAGAGACATACCCTGGCATAAACTAAAATTGACGAAAAATTTTGATGTTTTTCATTTCTTTATTGAACTGACGAGAATCCAATCCAACAAAACGTCGCGCCTGCCCAGATCCAGTGGGTGGATATGGTGGGGATTTCGAGACGTTCGTGGAAAAGCCCTGGGTGTCGAGGACGTCAGGAAGGAATAGACGGCGACGGTCGGCGTCGGTTTATTGATCCCGGGGCGCTGCGGCGCTACCCAACCGCGGGATCACCTGCAGATTTCACCAATTTCCTATTTCAAAATTCAAAGCTCAACCCAATAATCAAATTCGCATAATCAATACGAATTTTTTTCCGTTTTTACTATTCCAATGTGAATTTTTGGTTCTGATTTTGTGATACTCCGGGTCCATTTTTATTTCCACCGAATAATTTATTAAATTTTGAGTGTATAATTTTAATTGTCCTGTGGAGTGACTTTTCTTTTGGGAATCAGGGGTTTTTTTTTAAAATGCAATGAACGTGAGTAGTGGAGAGGGGGATACCCGGAATTTCGGAGGGTCCAGCATCATCAGGGCTAGGGTGAGGTGTTGGGGGTGCGCAGGGGACTTATCAGTGTTGGATAAGGGCTGCTTGAATTGAGTGGAGATCTGCGAATTGTGTGCCATTATCATGGGGTCTTGTCTTTCAGTTGGCAATTTTTGTGGAGCATTTGGAGAATAGTTAAAAAAAAGGGTGAGAGTTATTAACGTTGGATTGATTGTGTGCGCCCCGTGGCGCTGAAATGGGACCTACCAGCAGTCGGGAGGATCAGTTCGTCGAGACCATCGGCGACGATGATGGCCTACAGATTAATGCACGTCCTACTTCGACTATTGTAAGTCAAATTATTATTTTTCATACGGGGAAGAAGAGAAAAGAAGAGAAAATTTTCCAGACAAATCATCAACGAATCTCTCGAAATTGAAAGGAAATAGTCATTTCTTCGTAGACACCTTTTTTGTAGCTCTCATTTTTCTTTATCAAAAATTTATTCCTGAAAATATCGACTTTTCCCTTCAATTTCGAATTATTATCTCCAAAGTGATGAAGGAAAAAAAAAATTTGTTCAAGGAAAAAATGAATGTTGTCCTCGAACTTGCACCGAATTTTCTGGGACTCTAGACCGATGAGTCACTCCTGAAGTTTGACGTTTTTGCGATGCCTTTTTTTAAACTCGGAATTTAGTTGAAACTCGAACGAAAATGTTCTGACGTTTGTCTCTAGTCTCCAGCTATTTCGATTCGGTCGATACGATTTTGTGGTGTTCCGCTTCCATTTTCCAGCTCTTGGGCAAGCTCTTCAATATTTAAACGAGTTAAAATTTTGCGCTCATATTCTCAGCGAAGTATAATGACAGACGTAATGTGCACGAACGTTATAGCCCCTTTGAATGGCGTGCGCCTTTCTCCGCTCGATGTAATTTGCAAACACCGGGGGGAAATACGTAACGCGTTTACCGCTCTCGCAATAGCCTTTCATAAAATTGATACTCCGTAATGAAAAAAATTGAGGAAACTGTAATTCCGGATTGACAGCAAGTCTCTCGGAAATTAGAGAGCATCCAGATAAATTAATCCACCAATTCACCCCCAACAAGTTAATTTGTTCATGTCAAACGAATGAATTATTGAAAAAAATTCAATGGAATGAACTTCAATAATAATTTTTACCATTTGAAGAAATTTCAAACAATCTGGGAAAATAGCGGAAAATAATGAAGGGCCTTGTGCCAAGGTCATATCATTATATCCTAATTATCAAATTGTTTATACCTTGAAATCACTGCTCCGGAAAAATACTCTGGTGAAAGATCGTCGATTCTGAATGGAATAGAAAAATATTGGTGCTATACTTGGGATTTTTAGTGAATGTTCAGGCGCGTGGCATCATCCCACTGATACATAAAATGCGGGCAGTTGTATTACATATATATTATTCGAGACAAATGAGCCAGAGGAGCGGGGAGATGTTCAAGTGCCATCGGGATGGTGCACGTCCGTCCGTGATAAGTGAGTCTCTGATACTTGGCCGCATTCTAATAACGCTCGTTACGCGGAATAGCCACAAACTAGTACTCTGTTCGCCATATACACCTCCGTTTTTTTTTCCCCACAATCCGGCAGCACAAGATCACTGGATCCTGATCATTCCCATAGTCATGCCGGGGAAGAACAAGGTACGTCCACTGTTACAACTTTTTCAAGGTGTTATCAAAAGTCACCGCCTGATAGCTCTATTATTGAATCACAACACCATTTGTTCATTTTTTTCGGTGATAAGTCCAACAAAGTCTTTTGGATCGTCTCCCCACTTGTCAGTAAAATTCAATTTTTTTTTATAATTCTGTCAAATTGTCCGGTGGATTTTTTTTTCACGGGAAAAATCGAATGTTTTTGCGTTTCAGGATTTTATGTGGCTTTATTATTGTCTCGGCATTTTTAGAATTGTTTTTTTTTTATTTGGAAACTTTCTGGGGAATTCTGAAAAACGGTGCGCCTTTGGGGATTCAAACAAAAATGTGGGAAATTTATTTTTAATGCATAGAATATTTGGGTGTATTTTTTGTGTATTCTTTATTCGTTTGAACGTGTGGAATTGGATCGTGTCATATCGAGTTTTTTATGATCTTTCATGCGGAAATGATGGGTCATCTCGTTTTTTAATTAATTTCGTCGACGGTTCTGTAATTGGGCGGGCGATTAGTCGAGCAGTGAAATAAAACAGCGACATTGTCATGCTCACATGACTATTTCAGAATGCGACAAGTAGAAAATTCTTGTTTTCACAATGTCGATATTTTTCATTATTAATTCCAGGGGTCGGTATCAAGCCGTTTCCAATTCTTCAAATAAAATTACACTCATTATTCCAAACACATTTAGAACAAATAGACATGCCCAAGAATTTCTTAATTCTTAAGAACAGCTTAATCAACGGTTTAATGAGCGGTGAAATTCTTTGAGGAAAACTTTATGTAGTTAGAATCGAAAACAAGGATTACTTTTAGTGAACGGAATTCCAAGGAAAAATATATTCCCCGAGGGGAGATCTACTTCACTGCCATAAAATTATTGCTTCACCTGTTCTATGACTAGATCATTAATCAGTGAAGATCAAGATCTATCTGGGACTGACAATCGCTGCTTATCGTTATTAGACGATTTGAGTGTTTGTTGAATGTTATCGGTTAAATTTTTCAGCGTTATCACAACGACGAAACGATAAAAAACGTTCGATTCGTGCGAATCGTTGAGTCCCTTCGAAAAATTACAGAAAATTCATGTAGTACATCGGCTTTAAATTTCCCAGTGGCATTTTTACGCCATTTTCACGGTCATGTTTTCAATAAACAAATTCTCCGGGAGTTACTTTAAAATTTTATAGCATTGTTTTTTTTTTCCATTAGAATTTAAAAATAACACTCGGTTCGTTTACCGTTTTTTCCACGAAATGCTATTTTTTTAAACATCGATTTATTCGGATATCGATTGGTTCATCACTCCAGAAATCGTTCTGAGAATTTTCCACCGATCTTGAAAATTGGATAAATTTTTCACGACAAACCGAATTTGAAATATCCACAATGATATTCTGAATGACATAATGAGTTGTAAAAAATGTCCATTTTTTAATCCAGAATAATTCCCTAGCCGTTTATTTCCCCCGGAATTCTGCAAAAATTGTTGAAACAAGAATGACATATGATTAGGAAGAAATAAAAATCCGTGAGTTGGCACGTAATATTATTTCTCCATGAAGGAGTTCAGTCATCGGAGAATAGCTTTTCCTTGTCAGCTCTTATGGATATTAATGCATCCCAGGAAATGCCGAGAATAGTAAAATTACGATAAATACTTAATACGATTGCTTTGTTCATGAAATAGGTCGACAATCACGTGGTCATCTTTCCCTCTCGATTTAAAACATTTCCTTTTGTCTAGTCAACGAGCGCCAGATGGTGTTTTTCACGGGTTTAATTAATTATCGTCTCGTTATCTCATTAATCAATAAAATAGCCGAGCGGTCCAGATATAAATTTTTCAATTTGTTTTCAGCCCGTTGTTTTTCACAACTTCTCGAGTCATTACTCAATTAAGACGTTATTATTTCTGCCCTTAGGACTGACTTAATACACAATTGGATGTTTTCTCGCAATTGAATTCACTCGACAGCCATTAATTCACGTGAGAAGAGAAATAAAATGATCGTTTGCATATTTAAAGCTTTGTCGGATACATAAACAATTGAGACTTCTCATCACTGTTTATTCATCGTGAATAATGGAATAAAATTACTCATTACGGTTCATTGAATTTCTTCATTTAAATCGACAGGAAAAAGAGAGAAAACGGGATGTTTGTGTGAAATTTCGTGGAAAGTCTAGATATCACATTTTTCATGAAAAGTTATGAGGTTTTACTATCTGAATTATTGACTGAAATTATTTTCATGTCATTATTCTGATGATCCATCATCATAATAATTCACACGCTTACCGTTTCTATTTTTTTTTTTCAATAATCGATATTGCCAATCAATTTTAACAATATTAAAAATAACCGCACTCCCATTTATTCATAACGAACTGAATTGGGTGATAAAAAATAAAAAAAAAAGAGAGAATCGCGAGGAAAAGCATTGGCGAGATGTGAACAAAGAGCGAGAGAACAATAGCCCGGTGGAGGCCGATTAAAAAAAGAATGAAAAGAGAATAAGAAAAATGCAGAAATAAAAAAACAAATGGTGGACATAGAAAACGGGTCTTTACGTACGCAGGAACGGTGCAGTTTGTGAATCACTTTTATTAGCAACCAGAAAATAGTGGAAAGAGGGAGAGTCCGTCGACCGAACGAGTGGTGGGGAAAACTCATACAAAAGCTGAGATTGTATGGAATATGAAGGCACCAACTCGACGAGAGACACCTAGTCTGTTGAAAATGCTGGACATCACGACATCGTAGTGATTTCCATCACCAGAACTCCTGAACTTCAAAATCCATTCGTCCCACGCTGTATCACTAAACATCATGAATAAAAATCTGTAATCGGTGACAAATCGTTATTAAAGGAGGAGAATCACATCGAGAATAACTTGGCACTAGTATAAATGCAAGAAATGGACACCGGAGGGCTCTTGAATTGAGAACCCATGAATAGAACCCGTTGAATTTAGTTCGATGACAGGCCAATGTGCCAATATCCATCGACTTTTCGAGCTAATGGCAAATATTAAAAAATGAGTAAACAACGCGCAGCTGCAGAACAACTCTTGAAACTCAACGTGATGCAGTGTTAAAAATAACCCATTCGACTCCCCTTGTTTCACAGTTTTTAAAGTTGAATAAAATTCACTGGTGGGTCTGACCGTTTGACTTGAGGACGAATGTATCATGACAGTTTCAACCAGCGACGCACCACTCACTCCTGCTGTTGTAATTTATTTGTGAAATTAGAGGATAATTGCCAGTGAAATTTCTGTGAGAGAGTGTACCACGCGTTTATCTCATATTTTTTATTTTGCATAATGTCACGAGAGGTGTAAATAAAGGGTAATCGTTTGGTGTTGTGAGGTGGGGAAAAATGGCAGCCGACTATGACGAGTGATTTTTTTATAAAACAACTCAACGTCGTTCCACTTGCCGGAATCCATTAGTTTTGTTGTTTGGAGATTTACTGTGGGATTTACTGATCAGGAAATGTCGCGAGTGTCTTTGACAAAGTCTCAACATGGCCAGTATGGCTCCAGACGTGTCAGGAAAATTAGTACGGTGGGTTTTTTCATTGTTTGAATATAATATGATTTTCTGGAGGGGTTGGGGCTACTGATGCATCCTGAGATGATTTTTTTTTCACCTCGGGATTCGATTACCTGATTTTGTTTGTAGGCGTGACTAGCCACTCAGTTGGAGGAGGGGTGGGCAAACACGTGACTAGCCTTGACAATCAATTAGTAATTTACGTTAACGAGAGGAGATGATTTAATTGTGGGGGTGGATTTTTTGGTGAGAACAGCCCCACCCAGTGTCGTTTTATTTTTATTTTTTTTCTTACTCGGGATCATCGAAGTTTTGGAGTTTTGTTGGGGTGAAGATGCACCAGAGGTCGAATGGACTCGTGTGATGCGAGAAAAATATGTCGATTCGAGTTGTTGTTGGGGAGTTGTCGGCTGGTATCCGCTGGTGGCGCACCATCGGGGCAATCAGCTGATTGCCAGATAGGTATGCGGACAATGCGTGATAACGCGGGGTCATGTGAATCATTAGAAATTGTCAATTGGAAACAATGACTGGGAGTCGCTGAGTCACTTGATAAAGTCCAGCGGGTGTTGCAAAACTTGACGAAAAATTATTTTTACCAGACATCAATTCAGAAAATTATCACATTTTTTTCAATCCCCTGATTTCACCATTTGTTTGAAGTTTAAGGAGAAGAAATTTTTTTCTCAGTGAATGGATTCCACAGTCTCTGGTGGTGATGATTATCTTATTTTATTGTTATTTAGACAGTTATATATCTGTGATAATGTTTATTTGTTTGCAATTGCCAGTACTAGAATGCTAAATGTCAGGATAATTATGGACTTTTTGAATGATTGATCATTCAATTGTTCACATTTTCGTAATTTGAGTCATCGTCAATTATTATTAATACTCGATAAGTGAACAGCATAAATTTGTAGATGCTTGTGCGCCACTGCACAATTTACACCGCACATAAACATGATATTTATTATTCTTCTCCTTTGGGGAGTTTTCAAGGTAAACGAGTCGCTCTGACCGAGTAATTTCTGCGCTAAATATCCCTGAAACCTGTTGCAGAATGTAATCAATATCTTTATCAGTGCTAATCCAATAAATTGAAGGTAGAGAATTTTTCATCTCGGATAGATTACCGCGGTAATTCAGTGGGATGTGTGTCAAGGATGATTGCATTCTAATACCTCCTCGGGTTTTTTCCTAGAATGAGAATAACTATCTAATCTCCATACAATGCACAAAAAGTACTTTTCACCAGTACCAATTGTTCAAATATTTTTCTGGCTTTTCAGTTATGGGAATAAATAATTTTTCAGACGGAGAGTGAGTACTCGGTGGAAGAGCAGGCACGACTGACTGATGGGGGCGTTGATGAGACATCCCCAGATGACGATGGGGGATCTCTTTGCGAATACCACGACATACCACCACCCCCTGATGGTGGATATGGGTGGGTCGTGGTATTTGCCTCCTTCATGTGCAACATGATTGTGGATGGTATTGCGTATACCTTTGGAATATTTTTGGAGGAATTTGTGAGGTACTTTGGTGAGGGCAAAGGCAAGACCGCATGGGCTGGATCACTGCTGTCTGGAATGTATCTCAGTGCCGGTATGTTTGTTTGTGCAAATTCTATATTTTCAACGCTCTGTTTCTCCTCTACAGGCTTAAAATATTCTATAAAAAGGAAATGTTCACTTTAAAATTTGACACGAATTCTACTGGCATCATGATTACGATTTATCGCACTGCAAGAATTTAATAGTGGGCTTGTCAAATTTAATGATGCTCTTTATAATTTTCTCAGGTCCTGTTGTTAGTGCTCTCACGAATAAATATGGATGCAGAGCAGTTTGTATAGCCGGCAGTTTAATCGCTGCATCGGCATTTTTCTTATCAACGTACGTGAAGACTGTGAATTCACTGATGTTCATTTATGGTGTCGTGGGAGGTAGTGTGATTTCATTATGATATAATAATTTTTTATTTCAGGAGATATTTTTCTAATCATTTCGATGAATTTCAGGCATCGGTTTTGGTTTAATTTATTTGCCAGCAGTGGTGTGTGTGGGCTATTACTTCGAGACGAAGAGATCTTTAGCAACTGGTATTGCGGTTTGTGGATCTGGTTTTGGTACATTTGTATTTGCTCCCCTGGCAACGACACTCATAGAAGAATACGGTGATTGGAGGCAAGCGCATTGGATACTTGCTGGGCTTATACTTAACTGCGCTGTATTTGGGGCACTGATGAGACCACTTGAGTATCCAAAGCCATCCTCTGTCAAGCCACTGCTCCAACGAATGGCTGAGGAGAAACGCTTTCAGATGGAACGTGGAAGCATTGGGGGCTCGTACTTCATGGTGCAACTTCCTGATGGCTCGATGGAAAAGCGAATGAAAATGCCAATTAATATTGATCCTGGGGTACACTCCAGCTTCAATCTCGACCAATTAGTGCCTGGTGAGTATTGGAAAATTGCAAAAGAGTGGAGATGAATATTTGATTTAATGAGAATTTTAAATCTAAGGCTCGAAAATCGATCAAGTGCATTTTATCACTTGGTTTTCAGTGTAAAATTTGCTTTCTGTTTCAAATGTTCAGTAAAAGTCACGTATCGCGTTTCCACTCTTCGAGGATAGCTGAGTATTTCTCGCGTTCGAATGACATTTTTCTCATTTTTTCTTACATTTATGTTTTCTATGCTGATATATCACAGATTTGATAAGTACTCAATACCCCCTGCACACTGAGAGAAAAAACACATTTTGATTGAAAAAATTGCCTCGATACGAGAAAATAAATAAATAATAAATTTCTTTCTCAATTTTTTTCTCGGTGCAATATTTTCTCAGTATTACAATTAACAAATTGGTTGACAAAGCCACCAAGACTTAGTTAAGATTGATAAATTAAACTCTAAAGGAACGCCTTTAACACCAGTACCCACTGTGCCGACCTTGCCAACAATATCGGAGGTGAAGGTCCAGGAGCACTCGTCGAGTGCAGCAACCAGCAAAAGTGACAGCATGGACTTGAAGACGGGCAAATCGAGGAGCAGAAAGAGTATTGACGAAACCAAAGATACCAAAGATGGTACTGAAAAAACTGAGAATGAGTTCAACAAACCGATTATTCCCAGAAATGCATCCCAACCAGCATTCACAACGCACGTCCAGGGTCTGCCCAAAAATGGTTCAGTGCCCTTTTTTGACAGAATTCGCAAGACCAGCACTGGTGAACGATACAAACCGAGTCTGAGTGCAATTAAAAATTCGAGAACAACTCTGAACTCGAATGGAGACATTCGCAAGAGTCTGCACTTGAGACTCTCTAACAGCAGTATGTTGGGCTCTCGTCTTAACAACATGGAGGGTGACGATGGTGAGAGTATAACATTTACAACAAGCAAGTCCAGCATTGCACCCCCAAAGCAGAAGACAAGTATCGTTCGTCCGATGTCTCGAAAGGATATATTCTACAGTGGAAGTGTTATCAATCTACCGGAGTATCAGAGCCAGAAGTCACTGGCGAATTATCGTCAGAGTGTTTTGTCTCTACCAAAATCTGTTCGAGGGGATGTGAGGGATGGGGACGTTGAGAAACCACCGCTCCAGCCCTTGTGTCCATGCTTTCAGCTGCCTGAGTCATTCACTGAGGCCCTTGCCACCATGATGGATGTCTCTCTCCTGAAGAATCCAGTCTTTTTACTCATTGGCATCAGCAATGTCTTTGGCATGGCTGGACTTTATATACCATTTTTCTATCTGGTTGATGCAGCTGTTGCTAAGGTAAAGCATTATTTTTTCAAATGAAAATTGTCTAGGTAATAAAAAAATACATTATTGTCTTGCAGGGGATTCCCAAGAGCTCAGCATCACTCCTGCTTTCGATAATTGGGATAACTAATACTGTGGGGCGTATAGTCTGTGGTTTCGTAGCAGATTTTCCACAAGTTGATTCCCTTTTATTAAACAACATTTGTCTGTTGATCTCGACAGTCGCTGTCACAGCAACACCTCTGTGCACTACCTTTCCGGCGTACATTGTAATGAGTGTCTTCTTTGGAATAGCAATTTCTGGATATATTTCATTGACGTCAATCATTCTCGTGGACCTCCTGGGGCTGGACAAACTGACGAATGCGTTTGGCCTTCTGATTCTGTTCAGGGGTGCTGCTGCTATTGTTGGTGCACCCCTTGCTGGCTGCATCTACGATTTAACTAATACTTTTGATATACCCTTCTATATGGCTGGATTCTTCTTCTTCCTCAGCACAGTCTTCAGCTTTGTGGCACCTGCTATGAAACGTTTCACGACTCCACAGACTCAACCCATAATTATCGACACGTTAACTCCAATCGATGAGGAGGACAACGAAGAGGAGAATGAAGACGACATCCCGGAGATAATCGAGACAGCAGCATCACCCCTGGATCCACCAGAGAAAGAGATAAAACAAATAGAGTCTGTTCTTTAAAACAGCGTTTGAGCTTTAATTTGAAGCTTTAAGGGCCATCATTTCCGAGCCATGCCTCCAATTCTGGGAAGTACTATTTAAAATGATAAACAAAAAACCAATTACTTAAAAAGGTAAATGAATTTTCTTATGGATTTATCGATAATTGCACAAGCTTAGGGCAACGAGAGCAATGAATCTGTGGAACCTCTTGGTTAGTTTTTTTTTTCTACTCACCACAAAACTCTCTAGAAGCTGAGTTGCTCTTCACTTATGGCTGTTGATGTTTAAAAATTCAAATCCAATCAATCAGTATCAGTCAGCAGTATAAACGAACTTGTATTTAGGAGCGTAAAGTGGACAATGCTTTTTTACTCACACGTCGATGAGATAAATACTCGAGGAACTGTTAAAATTATTATAACATCACATGGGAATGTACTTATGGGGAACTAATGAGGCGAAAAGTTATAGATAAATTGTTTGTCGATCGATTCCTAACGATGCAAGGATTTTTATTCACTTTTATTTGTCAATAAAGAAAGATTATATGTGAATAAATCACGAGAGGAACATAAAATGACAACAGATGAAGAATGTACATAACAAAGAAAATTAATGCCATAATAAGTTAAATTAATTGACAAGTTCGAATGGGGGGATTTCAGCTGGCGCTGGTAGAATCGAAATTTCAAATGTACATAAATATTTTCAAGAACCTCAATCTCTTGTAAAATAGTGTGTACAATAGGGTTAGAGATTTGAGATATGTTTTTTTTTTTTTTTTTTTTTCTCGAGACGTTATCTCCAACGCCAGTTTAGTAATAAATTTTTGACCCAATAAAGGAGGAAAAATGAGGGGAACAGAGTAATTGAGTCGTCTCAGCACGCAATACTGTCCTTGAGGGGATAGTCAGCATTTTTCTTTTTATCAGAAAAACATAAAATGATGATGATAATAATAATAAAATTTATTGTTTAGAGATATTTGTAATCGATGTATGTTCTGAACAATTCGGAGTGAATTGTCACCTAGTTTGTGTTAATTAATTGACTCCTCTAGTTAGATAAATGAATCAATAACCGTTAATTAACACAAACTACTCAAATAACTAATGAAAATCGATGTCGCTGTGGTATTCACGCTAAATACCGATAATACTTAAATGAATTGATACCAAATCTAGTGGTTATCGATTCTTTCTAGATAAATCAAATAACATGAAATGAAAATGATGTTTTAGTGATCGTTAATGTAATATGTTTTTGATGACATCTATTGTGGGAGGGAAATGCGCTGGATGAAAAACATTTGAGTGTCATTTTGAGGGATTAGTAAATTGTGGGAGTCATTTTGCAAATGTAAATCTAAACTTGTACATATTTTCAAAAAGTTATGTCAATGTGATTACATGCGCGATGAAAATTTATTGAAAAGTCTGGCATTTTTTTCTAAGGATTTCTGGTGAATTTCTGTTAGAAGTCTATAAGAATTGTTTTGAGGTTTTATTGAAATTCCGTTTGAAAATTCACTTTGTGTTTTTGCACATTTTCACCTTGCACTCTGTATTTAATTTTAAAAATTCCCAGGATCTTACTTTTGTATAAAGAATGCTGGGCATGATTTATCTGCATTTTCTAAAAAATAATTAGAATGTTCTGATAGGATTCTAATAGAATTTCAATAGAAATCTCATAGTCCCACACCAGTTTCAGGTAAGAAAATCGTCATTTAAAGTTTGGATGTCTGCAGGATGAAAAAAAAATTCTTTCTCTGGGTGAAATATAATATATTGAGAAATTGTGAGTCCCAGGATTATCTACAATGGAAATTCCATAGAATTTCTCCTAGAAATGGCGAATTTTTGATTCCATAAATTTTTTCAAACGTGTAGATCATGTTGGTTATGAATAAAATGTTAGGCAAAAATAAAAATTGGCTCATTAGAGGGTAATAATGATATTTTGAATGATTAATCGTGGAGGAGAGTTGAACCAGAGAGTGAACAGACGGATCATTAAAACCCGTTGGATTTTTAAAATTCCTTTGCTACTTGGTGACAAATACTTGCTGATTACACTCAATAAATCATGATATAAATAAAATAAAATGAATAATCAATGGCGGCGCATGTGCCCACGCACAGTACTGAGACAAATATTTTGATTTTCATCTAAATTTAATTGAATATTTATAAACTAACGGAAACAATAACACTGAATCATTGAAGATTTGATGAAGCGTGTGCACGTGTGTCTGTGTGAGTGTTTCAAGTCGTTCGTGTGTGATGAGTTGAATGGAATAAAACAAAAAACGTAAACAAATAAACTAGAAAAGGAAAAATTATATTTTCACGTGCATAAGCAGAGTAATGTGCACTTCAATGAGAGTGATTACAGTGAACATTAATTACGTTAATAGACGAACGCTATTGATTGCCTATGCGCATTGCACGCTCTATTTTGTGCATACGTTATGTATTATGGTACAAAAACAAGAATGAAGAATATGGAAGAGATGTATTAGTGAGGTTTATTGAAATTGACAGATGATGAATTACAAATTTTTATTATTGAACGTTCATGCATTCCTCATTACCCTGCGTCGATTACTTGAAAATTCAAAATTAAAAAATTCGATATCAAAGATTTTTCTGAAAACCACTGAACCATCCAAATGAAATTTCCATGAACTGTCGTAGTGAAGATCGAATTTAAAAAATCGAGTGATTACAATTGAATCCTCAAAAAAATGTAAGAGGGAAAATTTCCTGGCGAAAAACGAGGATTTGATTTTTTTTCGGAAGATGCTGGGGGAAAAGTACTGGTGACCAATGAGGGGAATGTGTCAGTGCGGCTGGATGTTGAGGCCACGTGTCGGTACAAATCTATGATGAAAGTACGAAATTTCGGAGATATCCGGATGGCTCTCGGTATCTCAATCAGAAAGGTCAGTCGACTTGATTACTAATACGAGGCACGAGGCGTCGGCATTGGGCGGTCTCTCGTACAAAAAAATTGTCCGGTCAATCTGCCCTTCGCCATACACCAGTCCGGTTTAACCAGACCACTGCGAAACTACAGGCGAAAATACATTTCTCGTTTCATAAATACGAAAATCACTCGGTCAGTTCCACATTGACTTCACCAACAACTGCGACAATAATTCGTCTCCCCATTAAATCACCCCGAAAACTCCCCATCACCTCCCAACACCTCCCAACACCCCCTTACCTCCCCCCAATTACCCAGTGGAATAAAAATCAGCATCGAGTTAAATCCAGTGTTCTCCAAAGAAACAATAAAAAAAATTATTTTATAAATCCAGTGCACACGGAGTTAATCAGAAGTATGACGAGTGGTTAATGATCCATTGGGGTGCCATCGACGGAAGTACGAGTGGTTCGATACTGAATTCGATTACCATAAAATCATCAATCATCAAGGTCTCATTACTCCAGTGTTAAAAGACAAGTTGCATATGCGAGCGATGCGGTCTGTCCAGTGAGGACTCAATCCCCTTAAAACTCCCCTCGGTCCCAAATTCATGGGCACCGGGGAAAAAGTGAATTGAGAGAAAAGAAAAAAAATTTTGATAAAAAA